TGATAGTCTTGTGTTCAGTTCTGGGCTTCACGTTACAGAAAGGATATAGCCAGGTTGGAATTGGTGCAGCGTAGGGCCACATGGATAGTGTCTGGATTGCAGGGAAAGCCAGATGAGGTGAGACTGAGGGAGCTGGGTCTTTTAGACCTGGAGAAGAGGAGACTCTGAAAGGATCTGTTGGCAACATTTAGGTACGTGAGGGGCTGCCCCACGGAGGTCAGTAGAGACTGTTTTCCCCTGCAGAGGAGGGCAGGACTCTCTCCAATGGAGCAAAGCTCAGGGACATTTTCTCAGGAAAATGTCTCCCTCTTCACAACATACATTATTTTAAGCACCTCCATCATGTCTCCCCTTAGTCACCCTTTTAAAAAGCTGAACAGTCCCAGTTCTTACAGCTGCTGGAAAATGCTTTTGAGGCAGCCACTTTGCCAGAGGGTCCTATGGAGGTGACCACCTGTGGGACATGGATATCAGCATGCCTGAGAAACTGGTTGATCCCCCATCAAGTCCTTGTAGACTTATCACCAGAACCACCTGCAATTCTGGGGAGCATACATCCATGCCCCAGGCAGGGGAAAACAGGAGACTTTCATACCCTGGTGGAATATGCAGAATAGGGTCTGGTCCCCTTAAGTCCAAGAAGTTTTCTTTGGAAAGTGTAGCACTTTGGCACTGCTATTTGCCACGAGTCCACTTCGAGCGGCCTCTAGACAGTGGCTGAAGCAATGTTCTCAGCTCCTTCCATGAGTGTTTGTCTTGAGTCTAGCCTGACCACTGAACCATCCTGCACTGAGCTGTCCAGGGTCCTGAGCACCTCTAGCCTATCCAGCACACCTTGTCAGCTCTTGTCTGTTGGAGAGACAGAACAGCCTTGTGGTTGGGAAGGGTTCCTTATGTCACTGCAGAATGCCACCGTCAGGCAGGCCTGCTTTGACCCTGGCGCTTTCCAGGATCCCTCATCTCCCTGGCAAGTCCCCCCTTGACAAGGTATCGCTCTGGCTGCTATTCCTGTGTGCCCGTGGCCTCCACAACGGACACGGGAAGGCCAGATTGAGAAGGTCTTTGGAGTGGAATGGTTGCCGCCTGCCTGCAGCTGTAGCTGGAGCCCACACTGCCCTGAGAGCATGGGAAAATATAGATGATGTGGGTTGTGCCCACAGCTGCCTCCCTTGCCCCTGGAGCACCATGCATTTAGGATATGGCTCAAAGGCATGCCAGAAGCTGCAAACCCCGGGGAAAATTCTTTAATGGGGTGGGGAGGCAGGGGGAAGTGCCACTGCAAGGGAAAATAGGATTATGTGGCTAGCCTTTGTTCTTTAGGCCTACTCACTTAAGGCTGTGGGGAAGCAATAAAACTAAGTGGTGCTTTTTATTATCGCCCCCCCCCCCTTCACCAGAAAGAAATATGTCTAATGAATGTCTCATGTCTGAAACACTGGGCTGGATTCATCAAAGGGAGTCAGTAATTACCAAATTGAGAGAATCATGAATCGCTTTTCTAAATTTGAAAAGCACATCAAGAATAGATCAGGAGCAAGCAAAATTAATAGTTACGAACTCATTTCCATAGAAATGGACTTATTAGCAAGCATGGCAGCTGCCTAAAATTATAAGGTCTTTTCCTTCTGCTTGCAGGAAATAATCGCGTGTGTGTGTGGCATTCTTTGTATTTTATTTGAAAAATCAAACTTCTTTTCTTCTTTTTCAACTTGAAACTCAAGTTTTGCTAGGCTTGCATGAGGTGGGGAGAAGAAGAGCTTTGACTGGGCAATTAAAGATAAAATAAAATGGAGGATCTTCCTATCAGTTCTTGTTAGCTCAAAGCTAGCCAGGAGGAACCGAGCATCAAGGGAGGGGGTATGGAGAGCCCAAGCAGAGTTCCAGCCTGAAAAGGAAGACCTCCTGGTCTTTCCTGTTGAGAAGAGCCAACAGTCAGCTGATTCAGCCCCTGAATCATTAGGGCTCTTTTATGGCCTGCTTAGTCAGTAGAAAAGTGGTTGGCGTTGTGCAGCTATCCAGATGGCCTACAACTCCCATCCTCAGCTGATGGGGATTGTAGGCCAAGGCATGTGGAGGCTTGTAAGTTGCTTGCCCCTGGTTTAGAATAGGTATAGGCTGCTTGTCAGCAGTGTTCCCCAACAAAATGATCAGCCCACTATTTGGAAGACTGTGTCAAGTCACGTTGACGGCAAAAGAAGAAAGGGACAGCAGAGGTCGAGGTGGCTGGATGGAGTCACTGGGATAGTGGGTGTGAGCTTGGGTGGACTCCAAGGGATGGTGGAGGACAGGAGAGCCTGGGGAAAGTTGTCTGTGGGGTCATGACGGTTCAGGCACAACTTTGTGACTAAACAACAACAATCAAGTCATGTACACAGTAATGTACAACACAAGCATGAAAGCCCTTCTGACATCCCGGCAAATGGATTGTGTTCATCTTTCACTGGTAGGGGAGCAAGCTTCCCAGAAAGCTTTGGCTGGTAATTCAATTAATAAGATAGAGCCCAGGAGACTGTCTTTAGGAGGGCACCAAGTGACACCATCCCACTCAGAGGGCTGTCCAGTTTCTCTTGAATGTCTCCAGTGTGGGAGAGCCCACCACCCCTCTAGGCAGCTGGTTCCACTCTCCTATTGCTCTGACAGCGAGGAAGCTCTTCCTGATGTCCAGCCTGAATCTGGGTTGTTGCAGCTTGGCTTGATTATTCTGTGTCCTATAAAAGTTCCTTATCTGTCTTTTGGTGATATGAACAACCTGGGTCAAAGGAGATGGTTAGAGAACAAAGACTCTGAGGACAGCCCCTTGGCTGTGGACTGACAGAGAATGAGAAATTCACTTTGGGAAAGTTCTAACACAGGTACATTAACAGCCATGACCTGGGACGAGATGTGGAACAAAGGCCAAACACATCGATTGCCATCTTCTCCATGGGGGATTTGGTGTCCCAGATACTGGAGCACATGGGCTAAATTATCTGCCTGAAAGATGGAGGGATCCAGTCAGGAACAAAGTTAGTGGAGGAAGTGTTGCAATTTCTGAAACTGCCAAGTGAAGAAAACATTTCAATAGCAGGTGGGCTTCTCTGTGAGCCATTTTTCTGGTGCAAAAAGGGAGGGAGGAGAAGGAGCGAGAGGATCTATTCCTAACATGAAACCTAATTAGAACAGGACTGCTCTGACAGGTGAGTACAGCTGTTTTTGCAGCGCTGCTGGAAAAGGGAGATTAGGACAAAGAGAGAACCTTGGCTCTTTTGTTTTCCCTTTTGAAATACTGGTGCTGCTTGGCGTATGCAAATGGGATGCGGAGGGAATGGAACAAAGAGCCATCCAAAAGCTGGAGTCATCAGAATTGGTTTGCTCTTCCCTCTCTTACACAACCAGAGCCATAAGTATAAAAATTGGAGGTCTTTCCTCAAAACCTACATCTTTTTGTACTTCATGGAACCTCCTAAAGGGCTGATGGGCTCACAAATCAACACAATCCTCCATTTTGTGTGTGTAGGATCTAGCTGTCTATCTGTCCCATGGTCATTGAGCTACATCCAGCAGCTTTTAAAAGTCCAGTCCTAAAGATCCTAGATCTGGTTTTGATGGCCATAGGACCATTCAGAGCTCCAGCTCCAACCTTGGAACAATGCTCTGAGGATTCAGCTTGAATTTGCCCTCCCTTTGCCCTCCACCTTTGGCATGGCTCTGAAGTCTCAAAAGTGACCTCAGAGCTTATGCTGGGGGATGTGCTAGGGGATGGAGAGGAGAGGAGCAACACTCTGGGATACGAGGAATCTCAGGGATGCATCGAGAGCTCCTCCTTGCGATGGGGTAAAGTGGATGCCTTTGCCTCTCTGTTTCAGGGGGTGAAAGGAGCGCTGGGGGAGCCCTTTCCTCTGTGCTCTTCCCTTCTTCAATTGGATGCCCACCATCTTCTAAGTTCAGAGACTTACACCACATTGGATGGTGCTATCCATATATTTAGCTATGCATTAGAGGTAGACAAAGCAGAAAACATCTTCACAGCACAAATGCATCATCCAAACATCCAATGAATTAATTAATGGGCTGCAGTGAAAAGAAGAAGATGAATTCAGAACATTTCTAAACAATATTTTAAACCAGAATAGATGGCATTGGAATTGCAGAAGTTGATAAACGGTGACCAATGCAATCATGATTTGTTTCTGTTTTTTCCTCCCCGGTCTCCCTGTATAGTTATAAAACTTAGCCTTGAGGCAATTTAGTAATTAAATCACTTTGACAGCATGATGGATTCTGAAAATTGAGAAGAAATCTGAATTCTCTAAAGGCCCACCCTGAAATGTGTTTGCTGCTGATGGGAGACAAGTGATCACAAGACAGACCTCATGAACCTTCCACACACCCTCTTCTCCATCACTGGAATAGTACTGTGTATCTCATTGCCCTCCATGAATTTCATTTGCAAAGCTCTCTTTTTCTGCTGGTGGGCAGGGCAATCTGATAGTCCCTAGAAAGCATTCAGAAGGTCACAGGATCAGTTGGATTCCTAATTCTGAGGCTGGGAAAGGTCTCTGACCTTAGTGCTGCGGATCTGTATTCAAATTTCCCTTCCCTTGCTGACAACTTGAGCAGAACCAACCGGTTGTTTCTCCAAGGTCAGAAAGGGGGTTTTGGAGACATTCCAGGAGCCAGGGAGGGGAGGAGACTGGCCCTGCCAAAGTAAGACGGATCCTGGTGGAGCCTTAGCCTCAGCCTCTTTTCGCTCCTGCTGTGAATGCTAGAAATTGGCCATCTAGGTGCTTGTAGAGAAGCAGAAGCATTTGGGGAGGGGTGTGACCTCCTGCCCTGTGTAGGACACCCATAAGCTCCCCATATGGAGCACTACTGGTATCTCCACTGAATTGTACCCTAACTAATATTTGTTGTCTTGCTCCATGAAATGTCCAGTTATGAAACATGAGGGCTGTGTCTATATAATTTGTTAAGAAGATCCCATGCAAAATACCCAGTAATGCTTCCTTTCTGTCTTTCAGAGTGAATATCTCTTCTTATGAGATCTTGCAGATGGACTTTGAAATTGACAATAGCAGTGGGCTGGTGGGGGCCCAGCAAATCACCTGGCAGGTAGAATATCCCCGAGAAGAGTCTGTGAGTGAGCTGGTGGTCTCTGAGATCTTTGTCAGCGAAGCAACTTTTGCAGGAATCGTTCCGCTCGCAATGGTAAGAATCTCCCTCTCTGACTTCCCTCGTTCGGACTGCAAAACTTTCTTTAATTTTCAAGCTAGAGGGGTGTTTGGGGTGCGTGTGTGTCGAGGAGAGAAATACGTTGTGCTGAGTTCTTCGATTGTGAATTGTGAATTGTAAAATCACACAGTGGCAAGGAAGCGTGGCGATCCTCTAGCTCAACAGAGTCTGCACCACAAGATGCAACTACTGGTTCAAACAAGCATCATCTTCTGTGTTTGTTTGTCCAGATCCTTCTTAGTATTCTCTTAAGTTGCTTTGTCATGTTTCTTTCTATCTCGGATGATTCCAGCCAATCAGTGGGCATGTAGCTGAATGGGATGACATCACAAAGGCAGAAAGGCATCCCAGGGGCTGGGGTGGCGGTGGGGGGACTCCGAGTCATTTTGAGCAGCAGAGCAAGAGAAGGTGATGCGACTTAACATCAGATGCTTGTGGAGGCATTGCTGAAAAACGGTTGCCAAGCAGTTTCTTTTCTTTTGTTTTTTGGGTTTTTTTTTTTTTTTTTACACTGCTGAAAATGTTCCTGGAGCAGCAGGTACACTCAGCTTTAGCCATATGAATCCTGATTTTTCTTTCTTTTTGCGTGTGTTCAGGGAAACAGGATCTCTCTGCTCATTTACATCTGCAGCAGGAAGATTTAAATGTGCAAAATGCATTTCAATAAGATTTTATTTACCTGACGTACGGTAACAGCTCCTTGGAAACCATTACTGTCTATTGTGTAAATCTTTTTCTTTGCTTGGGGATTACGGGCCCAACGTACAGCAATGGCTCCTCAGGAGCTGTTGCCTTCCGTTGTGTTAATGGGATCTCCATGCATCCATGCTGTGGCGATATGCCACAATTAGTTATGGCATTTTCGTTGAAATTAATTAGTTGGCTTGCGTTGCAAACTTCATTTCTAAACCAAACAACTGAGCTCTTGTTGTTGTTGTTGGGGAACCCTTCATGTCCCTCTGCCCCCACCACTGCAGCCTTTCCACTTGCTGGCTTTAAATCATAAGCACACAGCACTTTAATTGAGAAAGGGATTCATGGGGGTTGCTGAGGCTGCAGCGCCTTCAGTTTTATTTCCTATGAAGCTTCATTTTTATGCACCCATGCTCCATCTGCAGAAAGAAGAGCAGAATCAAAGGTTCCCAAGCTTCCCTTGAAGTTAGCCCTTCTAGTCTCTAAACATTTTCGGCTGCTTTTAATACACAATCAGTTGCCTACATCCTGAGCAAAGAATACATATGCAATGCACCTGCATGAAAAAGCAACTTTTTAGCAAGTATGCCTAGGATTCAACAAAGCAGACCACAAATACAAATAAATATCCATTTGAAGGTGGCATCTACATGCCACACATTCAAATACTGGAAGTGTTAGATGGTTCTCAAACCACTGCGTTATAGGCGGTGAGCTTTCATCTATCTAGTGTTCTAACAATGGACTTACGGTTAACAAAGGAAATTAATTTCCCTATAGTTATCAATGAGGAATTAATTTAAACTTATGATTTTGTTAATTTCCAAGAAGCAGGAAAGTAATTTTTTAAAAGGTGTACATTAGCAAATACCGAATACTGTCCCAATACAAAAATTATCCATATAACAACCTCCCTACCACCTACTGTGTATTGTCAAAACGTATCTTTAAAATAGCATTAAAAGATGCATTGTGGTGTGCGATAGTCTCTAAACACGCGTGCTCCACGTTCAGGGGCAGTATACCTTTAAATGCCAGATGTTGAACTTCTCCAGGGAGAAACTCTGGGGAAAGGCAGAGGTCTTCTTCTTATGCTCCTGGGCTACCAGATGCGTTCGACTAGCTACTATTGGAAAAGGAATGTTAGATCTGAGCCCCAGGACCTCTGACCCAAGGGGTCAAAGCCAGCCTACGTGAGGTCCCACTCTTTCCCTTGCAGTCACATGCCTTCCCTTGGCTCCACCTCCTTTCCCTTGACTACGGGTCATTAGGTGCTTTCCCAGCTTTTGTGTACTCGCCCCGTATGGCCAATCACATCTGGCTTGGAGAATTCAGTGATAGCAATTAATGGCAGATGTGAACAAAGACAATGAACTCAGGAACATTTTCTCAGTGTGCTAAGAATATTCAGTGAAGGGGGTTGCACAGTGTGGGAAATGCCTGACCCTCCCCATCCTTTTGAGCCATTCTGGCCCATCCTGCTCAACACAAATGGTAGAACAGCAGCATCTTCTCCAGAGGAATTCAGGATGCAGTTAAGGTGCACGGCTGATTCCAGTTGCCGAACTGATACACAGCAGAGATGGCCAATTGGTTAAGGAGGCCAATTTCAGACATTGCTTAAAGATGCCATCTTAAAAGATGCTTTGAACTTGGGAAGTTTCAAGCATCTTGGAGCACAGCAGAACATAAGAGGAGGAGAACTAGGCTTGACCAACTTACCCGGACCAGGGTACTGTACAGACACCTGGACACCCATGGTAAACCAACAAGCGTGACCCAAGTTCGACAGTAGCCTCTTGCTCCTGATAAAGGTAAAGGTTTCTCCATGACATTAAAGTCCAGTCATGCCTGACTCTCGGGAGTGGTGCTCATCTCCGTTTCCTAGTCGAGGGAGCCAGCGTTTGTCCGCAGACAGTTTCCGTGGCCATGTGGCCGGCATGAATAAACACCGAGGTGCACAGAACGCTGTTACCTTCCCATTGAAGTGGCACCTATTTATCTCCTGGCATTTTTTATGCTTTCGAACTGCAAGGTTGGCAGGAGCTGGGACAGAGTATGGAAACTCACCCTGTCTGCGGATTCCCCAGCAGTTAAATTTGGGAGACTTACTGCATCCAATCCTGGTGGCAGCATGCAGGCATCACAGTTTGCAGCCACAGATCATTGGATCCTCCATGAATTCCCCACCTGGTTGGAATAATGTTTCCGTGCTGAACACAGATTGCTCTCACATTACTTGACACAGTTCCTTCTCCTAACAAGCCTCCTCAAGTCGGGAGCCTTGGGCAATGCAAAGTGGTGTGAGATGGCTGTGGCAAAGAGCAACAGCTTGTGTTTCCCTAGCTTCCTTGTGTTTGCCAACCTGGAGTGTTTGTTCATGCAACAGGCATGGAGCTGAGGCGCTGCACCACCAAAGCAACAACGGAATGCCGCAGTCCTTTACTACACAGATACACAATGCGGAGGGCTGGTTTAAGCAACGTGCTACGTATTCTGTGGCAGGGGTGGGGAGCCTCATTCAGCCTGAGGGCCAAGTTCACTTCAGAGAAGCTTCTGGGGGCCACGTTTCAATGGTGGGTGGAGAAGAAGGCAGAAAGGGAGGGCCAAAGGAGTTTAATTTTAAACAATTCCAGCATATTCCTGCTTAATGCTCATCCTGCAACTTGCTCTTAGGAGAGGCATGGAAACCTTTCAGGATGCAGGGAGGGGAAACTGCACAAAAGCTGGGGCATCACAAAACTATCATTAGATGGGGGAAAGGGGGTCATGGGAAGGTGCAGAGGCAGCTCCAGGTTTTCCAGGGTCCTTGAGCCAGGCACTGCCCATGAGGCCCCTCCATCCATGAGCCTACACTCTCTCTCTCTCTTCCATTGTCACAAGCTGCTCTTGTTGCACTTATGCTTTCTCCTCTTTGCTAGCAATTCCTTGCTTTCTAACAAAGAACCAGTAAGAAAATAGGCCATGGCCTCTCCTCCTTATCAGCACCTTTAACTGGACCAGAGCAGGAGGCAAGCAGGATGCCATGGAGAAGGAGGAGAGCAACTCCCGGGGGTCCTATGCAGTGGACATCTGCTGAGGTATGGGCCACTGGCAGGCGTCCAGCTATGCTTATCTTGATGCTAGCCTTGGAATGGGGCATGGCCACCTGAGAGATCCTGGAGGGCTGGGTTGGGACCCCATGCAGGCTGGATCTAGGCTTGAGGTTTCCTCCTTGGCCCAGGGCCTCTCAAAATCAGTTCCTTCACAACTGGGGGCTGGGAGAAATGTGTTTTGTTAGAGAGAACCCATTTAGGAAATGGATGGTGCCTATATATTTTTACAGCTGGGCAAATAGCATATTTTGCAAGGGAAAGGGAGGAATTGGGTATGTGTAAGTTAAAATGGCCTATCCCATACAGTGGTCCTAATCTAAATAGAAACTCCAGTTGGTTGTCTCCAGGGTAAGTTTAAAAGATGGTAGAGAAAATAAGGTGGGTATTAGGATAGGATAAACCCAAACAGCACCATCTGGAAAAAAAATCCACCCAGGATTCTTCCTACGACTGGCTATTTCCTCAGCCATCCACGTTAACTGAATTAAGAACTGGCCCCTTGTATCAGATGGTGGGAGTGTGGACAGCATTTGTGGCTGTAAATCAAATCCGGTGCTTCGGATGCGAGCTTATCTCCAGCAAAGGGTCAAAAGGAAAGGGTTTTATAAAAGCCATTGGAAGAACATCGCGTCTTCTGTTCTTGCATGATAAACTCTGGTGGCTCTGTAATTTTTCATAGGCGCTGGAAGCCAAGGTGGTGGCTTGCATGAAGTCCAGCCTTAGGACAAGTTCTCTTTTTTCCATGAAAGGCACAGCCATCTCTCCTCCCTGGTCAGCTACAGGTGGGCTTACCTTATGGCATGGCATTAGTCATAGAATCATAGAGTAGTAGAGTTGGAAGGGGCCATGAAGGCCATTGGGTCTAATCTGCTGTTGCAGAAAACCATCCCGTGAGTTGTGTATTCCTGATCTGTGCTGACTCGTCACTGCTCTGTTGCATTGTCATCTTCCCCAGCAGTATGTGGAGACGCTAAGGGGTGAACCCAGGATGTGCTGCAGGCAAAGCCACAGTGGTACAGCCCTTCCTTGTAGGATCTGTATCACTTCTGAGTATACATACGTCAGTTACCTTCACTTTGGACCATGGTGGAACGCTATACATTCCTTCTATTTCATCAGTGTTTTTTTCCTATGGATTCGCTGGAATCATCTTATGAAAGTGATTGTTAACAAGAAGAAAAAAGGGAA